ATAATATTTATTTATATATATAACTTATTATAAATTTTAATTATATGTAATAAAAAAATATTTGTACACTACACATATTAAAATACTAGTATTTATGTATAAAATATCAAATTAATAAAAAGAAATAAAAATATATCAAAGTTACAAATATTTTTTTACTAAAATATGGGAATAGATATTTTCTTATTTTATGAATTATAGTCTTAAGTTATTAGCTAAAATATTAGCAATTCATTTGAAAGATTTGTTGTGGACGGTGGAATATAAATATCAATATTTATATAAGGTCAAATTTAACGGCTTTCTTACACGGTTGGTCTCTTTGGTTACATAAAATATAATTTATACTTGTAAATTAGGTTATTTATTTATAGAATGAATTTTATTTATAAAAAAAAAAACAACTGTTGTCTTTTGTTTTTTTATAAAAATATCTTTCCAAAAAATAAATTTTAATTATCTTTTAAATAAAAATATATTAAAAATACCTAAAACTAAAATAACTCTACTAATTAACATGATAAAATTAAAATACTTTGACAAAAACAGAACTCTATAGTATATGATATGCTAAATAATTATTTAAATTAGATTAAAGATATTGACATATTTAACAATTATCAATTATTTATTTATACAATAATTTTTTTAAAAAAAAAAACTTTTGTCTTTTATTTATTATAAAAATATCTTTCCAAAAAAGTAATTTTTAATTATATTTTTTTTTAATAAAAGCAACAGTTTTTACACATTTTAAAGAATGTAACTAAATTGAGTTCTTCGTTAATAATTTAAATCTAATCCGTTATTTATATTTTTTAGTTCAATTTTATAAACCTATATACAAAGCTCACAAGTGTATTTTTATTATTTATTTATTTATTTATTATTATTATTATAAAAAAAACATAAGTTATTTTTCTTTTGTATTTTTATCAATTAACTAATTATTCTTTTAAAAAAATCATTTAATTAATTATAATTCTATTTAGAGTATTAGAAAGAAAGAAAGAAAAAAGTCCTAGTGAGAGTATTATAAATATTTAATTCTCAAGATAATTTTTTTTTCTAAAGAATATAATATATGTATTTGATAGTCTAAAAGAGTTTTAAACCATAACTCAATCACAAACGCTCGTGTATAATAAATTTGACTTTTACAATAGCTAGTTTAAAAGTTATAATAATGGTGATTTTTAATTAGTTAATATATTTTATTTTATACAGAGTGCATAGAAATGAAGTCCAAAGAAACAACTTAAAACCATTTTGAGGAAAAATGATGAAAAATAAAATATAAATAAATCAACAAATTAAATTTCTTATCATTAAATAAGTTGAATATAAATTTTTAAATGCTTAAATAATAAAATAAAATATGAACATAAATTTATTTCATAACTTAAGCTCAAATTCAAATTAAAAGGCATTAAAATAAAATTCCACGCCCAGTGAAGAACTACCGTTCAAATTCTCATTGAGTGGTCAATAAATATTTGACCGTATTTCAAATAAAATTATCTCCAACGGAACATACAAGTAAAAGATATATAAAAACAACAAAATTCATCCTTAACACTCATGCACGTGTCAATTTTACTGTAGAGAAATACAGTATTAGGCCTCACCATTAAACATTATCAAAATACTATTATACTATTTAATATTTAATAAATTACTGTTATAATTTATATTTTTTTTAATAATTGAGATTTCATGCTGTGAAAACGTCACTATCGAAAATATATAGCTCACCCCTATTATTGTTGGTATAATTTTTAATTATGTGATTATTTAAAAAAACATTTAAGATGCAGTAAGAGGATTGTTATCCAGAACAGTATGGTAAATGAGAAATATTGAACATTTAGCGTCTGAATCACATGTATGTCATAAAGACTCGACCGATACCAATTTAACTGTATACTTACTGGTATGGCCAACCTCCATTATGTCAAAAGCAAAAATTCAGAAGTAAAGGCTGCTTCTAAATGCTTCAGAAATAAAATTAAAAAAAAAAAAGGTCCATTAAATTGTGTCTTTTCTTTCCTATAACATGACATTATCATGTTAGTAAGCAATGAGAGGATTCAATCCAAAGAATAATGTATCATCATAGCTGTAATGCCAAATTGGGCTGCAACTGGGAACCAGCCTCCACGTTGGAACTAGGTGAATTTGTTGTTCCAATCTTTCCATTGAGGTCATTAGCAAGTGCAAAAGAATTCTGTTTAGTGGGAACATCCAATCCCTGCCAAGATGATTTTCCAGCAGGCCCTTGAGCCCAACTTCGTGGCTCAAATCCAGATTCCCGAGCCAATAAATTACCAGAATCTAGTTGACTTGATTTGCTGAAGTGTTGGCCCTTAAAAGATGAATTCATATTTGTATGCGCAATGCGGCTGCCTATGGGATCCATGTCAAACATTTGAGGAACAACCCCCCCAGTACTCGGAGACCCAGTTAGGTCAGCAAGTCTTACCATCTTCATTTGGGATGAAAAGTTAGAACCTAACCGATCATGTGAACTGAAATCATCAGAGTGTGCCATGGATTCCTGTTGAATCCTCACAGGTGTCGTAGTTTCAGACCCATCACCAATGCTGATTACTGGATTCAACTCATTTTGGTTGTTATTCATAACCATGTCTCCACTTTGCAAGCATGATGATCTATTTGCAAGGGGGAACGATCCAGAAGGTGAGGAAAATCTACTTCTATAATCCTCTGGTACAGGAGGGTCTGAAGTTCTACCCTCATCACAAACTGGCAAGTGTTGCATCTGTGACACGTCATCTTCACTAACCCATCCAGGACCAAATTCATGTCCTGTCGGCAAAACACTGCTGATTTTACTTGCAGCAATCTTCCAGACAACAGGACCAAGATCTGCAGCAAAATTAGCCAGACTTCTTGCATAGCTATGCTTCATGTGTACACCTACCTGATTTATTAAAAAAATAAAATAAAAGAAACCAACATGAATTTTGTTGCCAAGAAAAAAGCTTTTGGATCTGACTGAGCACGAGATATTAACAGCAATGTAGAGGCAGTACAAGATTTTTAAAGTATCATGATTCATAAAAGACACTTGCCTAACTTGCTTCAGGTTTGCATTTTCTGGTTGAAGAAAACAGGAAATAGAGTAAAAAAGAAAAAATAGAAGTTCGTACTGCAAGAAGTTGCTTGAATTCATCTTCAACTGTGGTCAGCACCGGTCGTTCATTTCCTGAAGTCATGGGATTTTTATAAGTATCACGCCTGGTCTCATCAACAACAAACTGCTTCTTTCCATATCTCAATACAGCTTTTACAACAGAAGCTGCAAAAACATACATAATTAAATGAATAACTTCAATGAATAAAGGCATCCATCTGTCCCTAGTTGAATCCAGAAGGAATTGGACAAACAATGGGAAAGTGTGGATCTACATAGATATTGACCTGGAAATTCATTCTCCCAATCGGACCAGCCAGCATACCCTCCACTATTAAAAGTGCTGTTGTAGACCCTGGCAGATGAATCTGTAGGCTGAAATTTGCTTGGCACTTTCCTTAGATTATAACCATTGGAGCCACTAGCAATATCCCCTCCAGAAGCAAGAGTTGCATCAGAAGAAGACTCGGGACCAACTCGCTCAGAAGGAGGCATACCTAGTGACTTTCTTGTTTGCTTGCCTGGTGGCCTTCCTCTCTGCACAATTTTGGGCTGTGGTTCACTATCATCACTATCTTGTCTCAGATTCTCAAAGTCCTTCCTTGCTATCTCTTGCATGGCTCGGGCCTAAGAAAAAGTACAATCTTTACCATAAACAAACAATAAAAAAAGGGATGAAACAATTTAGTTTAATAAAAAACTTCAACAAACCTGTCGGTGGTAAATGGTATCTGCTGAATTATATTGCATTGCATTCGAGCATATCAAGAACACATCTTTCTGCAGGAATGAAGCAACAGTGTCTTTCAAATTTGTATCAGACTAAGAAGATATATTTTAACTCAATGATCAAACAGTAGTACATGAAACCCAAAAGTTCCACTCAAGAGTCTTAACTAACACAAAGGTGATTACATTAAGGAGAAAACTTGATTATAGTTCCTTAGGTATGGTTTTGTCCTATTCTCTGAACAGAATTGAAATTTTACTTCAGTTATATGCATTTACATTTAATGCACTATTCAATAATATACATTTATGCATATTACCAAAACTCTAATTCTAATTAGAAAACAGTAACAACCCTACTTAAAGAACTATACTTGAGTTTTTATCCTTGGATTAATTAGTGCAGATCTACTTCAATGACCAGAAATGTAAACTTTACCCAAACTTGGCGTATCAGTGAATCTAAAACGAGCAGCATGCCTAGTAAACAGCCTTTGCTTGGGTTTATAATGATGTCAGACCACAACGACACAACAAGAATTACTTACTGAACTGAACGGATGACATGTCAGGAATGACAGTCCTTAATTAATACAACTTTAATGTGCCAAACGACATAATAAATGATTAGTTGGTCATATGTTAGGCTCCAAAAATCTTTCATAATATCTAATCGGCCAACCTTCCATATAACTGTCAAGCGTACATAGCCCACAGTTCAAAAGCATTGTGCTGTAAACACGAAATCTGCACTGAATGTAACATTATCTGAAAATTATACTCGCTTTGTTTCGATCTTTTTTTTTCATTCATCGGTAAATATACTAAAAAGTCATGTCGCGGGAATTCAATACAGAAGCAAATCACACATTCTAGAAAGCTGTTCCAGAAAATAGCAACACCAACCTCAAATTGTTCTAAGTCCGCATATAGCCCCCCATCCAATTTCTTCCTCACAGTTCCAAAATCCATCGGTTGTTTAATGATGTCGTGATAATCAGGAAGCTGCAGCAACAAAGCTTAAGTGTTGAGCATTCAAACAGTGAGAAGTCAATAGCAAGTACTCTAATATCACATATATAATAAAATGGCACCTCTTCTGGATCCACGGGCTCAGAAAACACCCCATGTGTGTCCTTTCTGCAAGAAGGTTGAGCAGTACAGAACATCAAATACCCAACTTAAATAAAAAAAACAAAGAAGGAAAAAAGAAGAAAAGAAAAAAGAAAGAAAGAAACAAATAAGACTACAAGAGACACACTTTTGAAGCCTGTCAAGGATAAACAGCAAGAGCTTTTTGTCTGGCAAAGGTGTAGTGGGACCGGACTCACCCTGCGAACCTGTCAACACATAATATAAAAATCGCCATTAATATTCCCCCACTATGCATGTATTGTATATATATGCCCCCTTGCATTGCACCACCATTCACAAATGATTTTCACAAAACTTCATACACGATACATACCATGTTTACTGTCAGTCGCTTTCGGAACCTTCTCATCCTGCAAAATCACCCCATCATCAAATACCATAAAAAGCCATGTGCGTGTGATTTTATAACACAACAACACCCACTTTTTATCTAGTCTTCCAAAAGAGAATCGAAAATCGACCCCCCTTAAACAAATATTATTATTTTATTTATAAGAAAACGAAAGAAAAAAAAGGCACAACTCACGAGCAGGCTACTAACTACTAAGCTATAGAGGCTTGTGTTGAAGGGCAAGGAATAAAAAGGAAAAAATAAAAAAAATGAGCAATAATCCCAATAAGAGCGAAAGATAAGACAAATTGAAGCTTTTATGCATATCCGTGCATAAACGAAGGCTCGATCTGGCGTAGTACAGCCAATAATGAAAGATTAAAATTAGGGGCAAAAAGAAAGAACAAGCAGGCACCTACCAGTGACAGTGCCCCAGCCCCACATCGAAATAAACAAAATGAAAGGAAAACCTAAACGGCGGTGACTGGTGAGGTCAAACGCATCCAGTTGAGCGCCAAGTCCGAAAAGATAAATAAAAATTGGGGGTTTATCGCAACAGGAAGAGGCGACAAATGGCGAAACGCACCGTTTGGTGGAGAGGGTCAATTCTGCGCCTCTTGGGATCGGAATTGAAGGGGTGGAAATTGGGCAGTAATGTTGGGTGGTGGAGATGGGAATTGAGACCGACCAAGAGCTTGTGCTTCTTCTCCTTGCGCTCGTCGTCGTCGTCGTCGTGGTCGTGGTCGTGGTCGACGTTGGTGTTGGGTTGGGAATTGGGGTTTTGTCGCTGTTGCTTTCTGAGAGATCGCTTTTGAAGATCCAAAAGGGAGGGGCGTCCCTTCTTCTTCCTCTTCGTCATGGTTTCAGATACCTCGCCCATTGTTTCCTCCTCTTTTCTCGCTCCAGGCTCCAGGTCCCAAACTTCTCTCTATTCCTTCCCCTTTTTTAACAAATTTTAATTATCAAATATATTTTAAAATATCTATATTCCCCTCCTCGCGTGCGCCTCACGTGACTACCGCGTTTGACGTTTCTTTCTCTCATTCCACTTCCACCTTTCCTACGCCTGCCTCACAACCAATCCGTGCTACTGCTTCCCCCTTCAACCTTTTTTTACTGCACTATTTATTTTTATTATTTTCTTCTTATTCCTACTAACTCTTGACCAATCACAATATCACAACTCTGCCCTTTCTTTAAAAACAAAACTCCAATAATTATTAATTTATAACACAAAAATTTAAATCATTTTTTTATAACTAATATTTGTACCAACTATCGTTGTAGATAGTTATATGACAAAATAAGACAAAATAAATTGGATACATCAAAATTATCACATATTCTTTTTATATGTAACTAGTGTAAAGAATAAATATTTCATGTATATGTGTATTTTTTAGAAAATAAAATAAAAGTAGAGGTTAATAATTAGAGGTGATAAGTTATTGAGTGGTTTTATTTGGAAGATAAGTTTTTTAACAGTTATAAAAGTAAAAATAAAGAATAAAAATTAAATAAAAAATGAACAGTAATTCTAGAGAAAGTAAAATGGATAAATTTGTTTAGAAAAATGTGTAAGTCAAAAGAGATAATCCCTTTATTGTTAGTGTAGGTATAGATAGTATGAAAAATTTTACAATGTAAAGAAGTGGTAAATAAATATTTTTAAATATATATAATTAAAATTCCATTTAAATTAATATTTTGAATATATACTTGTATTTTATATTCACGATAAAAAATATATATTATAAAATGTAAAATGAGATTAAATTTAATTGTTGGTTCTTTTTTGAACTTGATTCTCTTATTTTTAAGAGGTTCTGATTTTCTTATTTAATTGTTAAGTTTATTTTGAAAAAGTTCAATTAAGTCTTTAATTTTTTAAAATGAGATTAGTTTAATCAATTTTTTTTCCTTTTAACTTCAAATATTTTCAAAAAGATAATGACATATTTAATTTTAAAATAAATCAAATTCAACACATTTTAACAAATAAAAAGCCTTGTTTGAAAGAATAGAAAGTGAAAGCCCTTTGTTTGTATCTTAACCTCCGTGACTTCCGAACATCCTCCATACAGCCCTCTCTGTTTGGTTGTATAGCCTCCATATAGCCTTCCACCACGTAAGGGCTTCTCCATCCTTAGGAGCAGGTTGCGTGCGTCATTTAATTTCTCTATACAATTTGTAGTGATTGTTGAACGTTGTCGTCATCTTCTCATACACGCATTGTAGGTTGGCTTTCTACGTACTGAATAATGTATGTTGTTGAATGAATGTGTGAAAGAGAGAGATTGTGGTAGTATTACTAATTACCATGCATGCTCCCATATAGTAAAAAATTGAGAATTGATGTGGTCATGAGGAAAAGGATGTGAAAGGAAACATGCATGGGCTTGCTAGATTGACTAATGATTTCATTTTCTCAACAAGTCCTCAATCTTCTAAGTCACAAGCATCACTAGTCACTATATGGGTGATAGAGAAAATGAAAAATAGGATAGCTAAATTAAAGAATGAGCTTGTTACAAAGGAAGCAAACGAAAAAACGTTGGAAGAACATATAGGACATATGATGAGCAAATGCAGTCTATACTATGACACCTTAAGATTGACCATTTAAGGTCAACCCTCCTCCATTGAGTACTACCACAGATGATCATGAGCATGGTGTTGATGATGCACTTGATGAGATAGCATAGGACCCTTGATTAGGCTCATTTACTTTACTTGTTTTAGGATTTATGTTGTATTTCACTTTTAATTTGTTGAAGAAAACTCTTAATTAGACTCTTTTATTTTGCTTTTCTCAAGATTTCTAGTTATATTTCACTTTTACTTTGTTGAAGTTCTAACTTTTTATGTTATCACTGGATTTTCAGTACATATTATATTAACCTAGTTATATTTTATTTAGTTTCCATTATATACTATAAGTCTACATTGATGAGATATCATAAAAGCCATTTATTAGTATGTTCTAGTTCATTATTATAAATTATGTAATCAATATTTTGATAATAAATATTTTTTTAATTTTATGCTTATTAATAAGTATAAATTTTAATTTTAGTTTTTTTAAAAATAATGGTTAAACATAGTGACCGAATTCGTAACCATTTTAAAAATATTTTGCAACTAAATCAGAAATCAAAAGTAAGATCAAATTAAAATTAAAATATATGTTTTATTTAACGACAAAATACCAATAGGGTAACCTAATGGCTAATTGCAACAGAATTAGGGACTGAATTTA